CAAGAAAATGAGCTCACATCCTACGTCTATCTCTGTATAGCTTTGTGGGCCTTTAAGAACTTGGAGATTTTGGCATGAACATTACCAAGTGCACGCCAAGACTTATTAGCCGTGGCAATCCGGTGCAGGTTTGACTGCCAGTTAATCTTTGCGAAAATTATTGACCTTCAATCATACGACTAAGGATTTTATATTCAGTTTGCGTGGGGTGTGTGATAGACTTACCTCCATGTGGTGTACCCTGGGTAACGTATACTCATACGGCAAAAAAGGCTATTAACCGGCAGTTGACTTCTGAATTCAAACTGCTATGATCCCACTGTATGCCATATTCGACTACTTCCACAGTACTCACCTCACCTCTTTTCCACATTTCTACCTTCGTCTTTGTAACAATCTTCTGTTCCCTCCCCACCCCCTCTCGACTTTCTTTCACTTTGATGTTCCTTCCCCTTTGTGAAGCCTGAAGTCAACTAAAGGGCTAATGATAACCATCAAAACGCCTGCCATTTGATATAAATAAATATTCAGTTTGCGTTAGATTTATAAATTCTTGTCGAGCGCTTAGTAAAATACTGGCTCCCTATAACGCAATAATAATTCTAAATATCAGGGAGGGTACTGGGATAAATCCATAAATGTGCTTGAAAATGATTACTTGCCACTTAATGATTATGTGATTTGTACAACTGCGGTCCTTTCATGTTAGCAAAAGTTGTCTTGATTCTTATTACATCTAGTCGCACGTGAACACAGATTTATGAAAATGCTGATTTGTGATGTCGAATCAACCAGATTAGAACTATCCACTGCTTCTAGGTCAAAAGCGAGCAGTAATTAAAATCATTTAACCAACTAAGGCACCGAAGATCCAGTGTTAAAGTGGTCTGTTTCTCAGGCAACTGATAAAGAATAGAAGAATTCCCCAGACACGTTTTTACCATACATTTTAGGCTAAAATACAAGGTTTCTTGAAATTCAGAATATTGACAAGGGTATTGTGGTTGGTACATCCCAGTGCAGAGTATGGCGATTTTAGCTCCATCACACTCACTCTCTGTTCTCATACCTGTCCCTTTCCAAACGTTTCACGTCGACATTAGCCTCACTCAACTATAGACTTCGAAAAGGCTCCTATTCCATTTAATCAACTATAAGAACCGTCAATGCCTCAAGGGATTGACTCAACTCCTGAAAGTAGCTTTAGTGTCTTTATTCGGCTTTAAAAATGTTAGAACCAGAAAAGTTTTCAATAGCAATTAGAGATCCTAGATAGCCCGATTTAACAAAAGATGCATATGTAGAAAACAAAATCCGGGCTACTGCTACTCATTAAGTAGGCAATCAACAAAAAAAACAAATATTCACGAAGAAAAGGCGCAAAAGATAACAAAATAATACTTAAAGAAATACATTTCCCAGTAAATAAAAAACAACAGTTATTTCTCAATCCATTCGATGTCACTATCGCAAGATGACGATGGGGATGAACTCAACGACCGACTTCGAGATTTCTTTAATTTTCTTTTCTTAATTCGATTTCTTTTACACTTTTTCGACCTCTTTACATATTTATCACTACCTTTGAACTTCCTACGGTAATTTTTTTCTTCTGAAAAGGACGATGATTCTGGGGTTGTTGAACGAGATGTGTCGGGTGGAGCAGGAGATCGAGGAGGAACCCTTGGAGGCGTGACAATGCGCCTTTCAAGAGAATGTGGAACAGGAGGACCTGGACATTCTAACTCCTCAAAACCATCATGTCCCCAACGATCTTCTATGCCGCCATCACAACGCACGACTTGACGCCAAAACTCAAGAGCTGTAGTAGGAGCAGCAGCAGGGGCCGTGATTTTAGAAGATTCTTCAATCATCTTTTTACGCTGTCGACGCCATTCGCGTTCAACAGAAACCCGTCGCTGATCTAAAGAAGACTTATGACGAGAGCGGGACCGACTAGGACAACAGCGTTTCGACCCGACACGCTTGCGAATTTCGTGCTCACGCCAACATTTTTCCTCTTCTAAAATCTTAAACGCAATAAGATAACAAGATATAATACAGGAAAACTGAATGGACGTAAAATAAAATACAAAATTCTAAAACATACCCTGTTATGTACAGCGCTTTGTTTCACGTAGCCAAGAACGAGGCGTTTATCCTAAAATTAAATTATTCATAAAACTATATTCATGCAGAGGTTAATCAAACTACGATATATAGCATACAGTCATAGAGAAAATATTAAAACAACCCAAATATATTCAAAAAAGGCGCTAAAAGAGAAAAACCACTAAAACTAAATGAAGAAGAAAAATAAAAAAATTTAACAAACTTCACCATATCATTATAAGAAATCGAGGAAAGCAATAGTTTTAAATGAAAATGACGTGGAAATTATCTTTAAATACTGTAGAGAGATTTTAACATTAGGAAGGTTTCAAAACAATAAATTTCGAACAATGTTACAGAATTTAAAATAAAGATTGAATGACATATCAAAATTATTAAAATTTGTTAAGTTTATTAGCCAAAAATAACCTTCATTAAGATGTCAAAAATATTTTGTATTTAATATAAATAAAACTTCTAATAATGAATGAAACTTGTCATTAAATCCATATTTACGTTAATCTGACAAAAAGGTTACAAAATTGGAAAAATAAAAATCGAAGAAATTCGAATATCATAGATATAAAATGACACATGACAAAAGATTCAAATCAAAAAAAAGAACGCAATTTTAGCCCAAAATGATAACTAACAGACCTCCATGCAGCCATTTCCTCTCGACGCGTTTGGTAGTTTAGAATTTGGGCGGAGTTTAAAGGAATGGAAAGTAGGAAGAGGAGGAGCAGGTGAGAAAGGGTGGTGGGAGGGTGATTTGCTCAGTAAGTTTAGTCCACCTTGACATCTTGCTATCCAATTTGCCTCTTTTCCTCTCGCCACGATTGAGGAGGGCGGTGTTGGTGGCGTGGTTTGGCCGAGGAGGCGAGGAGGCGATTAGTCGGAACAAAGCGGAAAGCGATACCAGCGCATAGACGAGTCTGTCGCCTACTGCAAGGAGATTCTTTGGAGAGGGCGTTGGAGTTGAGGGCGTTGGAGTTGTTGGGCTCGGTGGTGTAGTGGTCATCACGTCTGCCTTACACGCAGAAGGTCCCCGGTTCGAACCCGGGTCGAGCCAGGCGGACGGTTTTCTTCTCCCCACGTGGTGAGCCTAGTTGCCGTGTTCTCAGACATTGGGCTCCCTTGGAAGCCAATGGGACCTCCAAGTGGGTTGAAGAGGGTAGCAATAGGCGCGGTCCGCCAACCTCTGGTCCGTGTCAGGCGGAACGTGGGCAACTAGGCTGCGAATGTGAAAACGTGCCGAGGGGACATGCTGCTCGGCCAAGAACGAAGACGCGCTTTGCCCTCGGAGAGAATCGAACTCTCGACCCCTGGTTTACGAGACCAGTGCTCTAACCCCTGAGCTACGAA